TAGCTAAAAGATGACTAGCTAATACCAGTACAGCACCATAGCTTGTTAATAAGAAGAATATAGGCTACTGATGTTGTTTATGTTAAAAAGTGGGAAGTAGATGTTACATTGAGTAACTTTTTTGGAATATTTCTTTTACTTGAGTAATATTATTATTGCTATACTCATTTTGCCCCCTTGCCCCTCCAAAATAAGCCGATGTCCCCCCTGTTTAACTCGTCTGGAGGCGGGTCTGCGTAGACACATAATGAAAATTGTTCTCAGAGACCTGTTCACCTGCTGAACTTGACACCAGATCCTTGTTGAACTATTTTGACATAAATCTCTGCAAAGTGTTGTGTGATTGGTCAGAAGTTTGTTGCTGTGCTTTGTGCAGAAATGCACTCGGACAGCAATGTTGATATTTCTCTTTGACTACTTCGCTTCCACTATTCGGCAAGAGACATTGATATTTTTGAGGAACATTTATCTGATGAGATGAGGAATGATGGACGTATGATTCTTCACTAAATAACTCCTATATAAATACCACAGGCAAATGTTTAATAATACCTGGATGGAAATTGCAACGTCTTTGCTCACAGAAGAGGCTGTCTACAGAAAAGTGTGGTGATCTTGCAGTGTCCTCTGTCAGTCTCCTCTTGATGTGGGTGTGATGATGTTTCAGGAATAAGACTCTATATGCTAGAGACTTTGGTTGATCAGCAAATTTTTATTACAAACTGTAGCCCAAGTCAGCACGACCGAATTGCAAGGAAATCTTAGCCCAATCATAGCAAAATCCTCCCGATTGTTGGACAGCACCCTGTTTATAAGGCTTCTGGCCAACACACTCTCTTCCCAAAGTTTACATTATCACATGCCTTTCTTCCTGATATAGGCATGTTCAAGTCACGGTGGTGGTGTGTCTGCTAACGCACTTGGAGTCCATATATGAAACCTGTTTTTGAATTCAATGTCTCTTTTCTCGGCTGGTCCTGTAGATTGCCAAAAAAGTCCTCATGTGTGATCAGAGACTACGCCCTCTCTGTGACAACTTTGTAAAATCAAAGCTACAGGGAGGTGAGGGGGGACCCCCTTGAGTAGTGGCATGAATTATAATGAATCGGGAGGAGTGTCCCTCCAGTGGGCTGCACCGTTGTATGAAAGGTGTGTACAAATATGAACAGTCGAAAACCACTAAACTGTGTGTCAACTGTTTGGCTTTGGATGAAGTATGTCAGGGCCTTATGGGTGTACTTTCTTTTTACTATTACTTTACTTGGTTTTATGCTACAGTGTTTAGGGTGTCTTGCCTGAAATATCTGATATGTCCATGTCAGTAGGGAACAGTCTCTTCTGGCTGATCTCCTGACTGGGTCGCTTCATTGTTGAGAAAAACATCATGTTTGGAATGGTTTCAATGAAGACCTAACAGGACACAGAAAGAAAACTGATCAAGTTCTGCCACTTACAGAACAGATGCATCGTTTCTCACTTTCTACCACAGAGCAAACAGCATGAACCTTGCGGATCCATGCCGGCATGGTGTGTGTGCTGGGCGAGCGGTGGTGTGTGTTGATGACGATGACCGTGATGATGATGGAGGCGATCACAAAAACCATAGTGAAGAGCATGTATTTCCCTATGAGAGGGACAGCGCTGGAAGTGGAGGGAATCAGCTCGACGATAACCAGCAGGAAGACAGTCAAAGACAACAGGACAGAGATGGACAGAGTCATCTTCTCGCCTTGAGTCGGGGAGAAAAAAAACATTGTGTCTGAAAACATAATGCAGGTAACAGCAAAACACCTTTACACAATACCACGCTATACTTTCATTATGTTGAAGGTATGGTGTAAAGTACTTATGTTTTATAAAGTAATTAAATTAACAAAAAAGTTTTTTTTTTGCCCGGTCATTAGGAAGAGTTTGTCTGTTTGGTAGTATCCTGTTTCCCCCTCTCAAAACCTTTACCATAAAATAAACTACAGTGGTAATAACAGGAATTAGAAACATCAGCTGACTGCAATCCGCAAATACTTGAGACCCCCTCTAAAAATGCTTATAACTGCTTATTTTGATAGTTCTAACACTAAGTATATCGAAATATGCTTTAATACACACAGTGGAAATCCTCTTAGCACTGTAGATGTTACTGTAGAAGTTAACATCTACAGTAATCTTTAGCTCTGCTCTTGGAGGTACAACCAGTCAGTTCCAGGGAAAACAGATGGTGCTCCTGAATTGGTTACTTTGCAAACACCAGCCAGTACCGTGCCATGTAGCACTGGACCTTGGTAATTCAGCTACCCAAGCTGCATTTTCTTTAGAATATTTTAGACATGCTCTACAAAAAAGAATCAGTGAATAGAGGGTTTTCCGTAAATAATTTAGAGTTACGCTCCACAGAAGAATCTGCAAAAAATTAATCACAAAAAGGCAGGGCTTCATTGTAGCAGCATAATATCTGCTTGAATAGATTGATCAGTCAGTAATGTTTTGATTTGTAGTTATTCATGTTTATTTGAGGCACTTTGCTGTTTAGTTAAAAGTTCACTAAACTCTAAAGCATGTCATCTTAAATTAACAATCACAATGAGACATTAGGAACCATAACTGACAGGTCAGGCTAAAGGGACAAGTTGATTCAGTTTCAATGCATTTATGATGAGTAAAACAATTTTTTTTGTGTTGCTTTGACTGCAATAATTGATGTAATTGCACCAAGTTGCTCTTCCCACCCTTATCACCCTTATTATTTTTGAATGCTTCAGTTCACCAATTTTCTTTTTTTTCTGCATTGATTGTGAATAATAATAATCTGCCCATCTGGCATTTTTTTGATTATCATGAGACACAAATCACCACTACAATAAATACATATATGTGTTTTACTTTTTCCTTTATTCATAAGATTCATCTTGAAAGGATTAATGCAGTATTAAATTTAAGTATAGATTCCAATTTTTGTGAAACAATACTATAAACTCAAAATGTCAAAAAAAAAAAATAGGATTTTTTTTCTACAATTAAGGTGTTTTGGTGGTTCTGTCATGTCAATTCATAGGTAAACTTTTCTGTGCTTTCTTTCTTTTAAATATTTTCTTTCCAGATTTCCACATTTTATGGTTGTTGAATTCTCATGTGTTGCACTTTGAACTTCAGCAAACACTCTCTTTAAAAATAACATCAATATATGCTTTTGCAAATTCATTGTGAGAACTTTAAAAATGAATTATTCCCTTAAATTGTAAAAGAAAAAAGTGTTTCTATATTTACATACCTGAATCAGTAGGGAGGTAAAAGACTAGTCCAGTGAGAAAGGAGAACAGCATGCAGGGAATTATGACATTGACAATGAAATAAAGGGGAAGCCGCAGCATCAGGAAATGGTAGGTGATGTCCAGATAGGGCGTGTCAGGGCAGCATGTGTAGTAAACCCAGTGTTTCCAGCTCCTGTAGTCCTTCAACACCCATTCACCTGACTCCATGAAGTTACTGAGGTCTGGTCGGTCACTGTCCTAAAGCCAGAAAGCAAACTTAAGATATGCAAATACACATTGAACTTCACGTTTCATTACATTACACCAAGCATCAATGTATTTTATTGGGATTTTATATGTGAGCCCAACACAAAGTAGTGCAGAATTATGACTTAGGAGGAAAATTTTGGTTTGCAAAACATGGCTTGCTTTTGTTATCTGTCACCTTTACTCTGATACTGCTGAACAAAACTATTGCAAGCAATTGCTTGACAGAAGTCACACAGTCAGTAAAAGGAATCCACGAGAGTGTAATTTAATCTCAGTATAAATCCAGCTCTTGTGTGTATTTATCCTAGTAGTTGTGAAGTTCCTGTTTGTGAACCAACAGAACAAGTCAAGTCAAGGAGGAACGGCTTTGAGGAGGCCGAGTGTCTCTTAAGGGCACTGTGTAACCTATCTTCTGAAAATGGAACCTACGTCCACTAATCAACGTCCACCTATGATGACAGGTCGGCTCCACAGAGACCTGCAGAGACCCATAGCTTAGGTAGAAGACAGGACAGCTACTATGATGATTTATGTTGAACATATGAACCTGGACTTTATGAAAGACTGGCAAGAAGAACGCAATCAGAATTTCCATTGAAGGTTACCCCCCAAGCCACAAAGAGGACTGATCAGTTGAGATAATAACTTTTTCACATGTTGAGGAAAGCTGACATTTTGCACCTTGAACACACCTACAGTGGCAGATGGTATGGAGATTTTTTTTTTTCCTTTATCATTGAACAGCAAAACTGGTTCGTCGTGGTGTAATTACTGGATTTAGGTGCAGGGAAATCCTGAAAGAAAACCTGTCAGAGGTTGCAAAGGTTTTGGAACTTACAGGCAGCCTGGCCATTGGCTTTTTACGTAATTGCCATCAATTTTCATTTCCATTTAATGCTCTCTCTGGAATTTCTCCTACTGAGCTCAATTTCTCCAATTGAATTCTAATGGGTCCAATTGACAGAAGGAAAACTTGTGAATGATGAGTTTCTGCAATATTTTAGAATTGTAGTCTGCCTGTGGTTGTATATAGGCAATGGCAGCGGATAAAGTGAACGAAACTATCCAGAACGTCCTCAATATGCTTCCAAATATTGAGCAATTAAGGTCTGGTAAACTTCATCGAGCCGGCGCATTGCATACATCACAGCCAAACTTTTAGGATTGGGTTAAATTATATCCACAAAATGCACTTCTTTCTGCATCACAACTCTGCACTAACTTGTGATGCTCAATCAAATTAATTCTCAAATACAAAGACATTTCTTATTGTAAAGCAATACATTTTGAACAAAAACAACATAGTAAAAGCTTCACTCTTACTGGGTTGATGATGACCAGAGTGCCATCATATGTCCAGGTTCCCAGTTTCATGCTGCAGTTCTGGAGGTCAAATGGGAAGTGAAGGACAATTATCTCACAGTAACTCTTGTAGATTGCAGGTGGGTTCCATGTTATCATGCCCGTGTGCTCCAGCAGGACTTTGGTCTCATGAATGATGGCAAAATCACCATCAGCACTGGAACAAGGAACAGGAAGAAAGCAGAGGGCAGACAGAGTGTGACCACATATTCAGTTAGCTAAAGCTAAGAGTAGATGTCTGTATAAACCGGAGCAGCAGTTCTGCTTACTTGTTGTACAGAACTAAGTCGGGCTTCCATATGTCTGTTGAAGGAATTCGGATCTTTTTGATGCCTCCATAAGCATCTGGATCCCACTGCAGGTTCACATCTTTCCATTGCTAGGATGAAAAATGGGAAGGCAGCCCTCCAAATAATTAATCTGTTTATTTGTTCTTCCCTCAGGTGATTGATCTTGTTAAGCAGATGTAATTTGATATAGATCAGGCTGATCTACTGACAATGAATAATCTTTTAATATAAATATTCTGGCTTGGATGTGCATGGAGGGCCAAAAGGGACTAAATTAAATAAATAAATAAATAAACAAAAACTTAATTAAAATAATTAAATCATTAATTTAATTCCAAATTAAATTAATGTGATTAAATAATTTATATGAGAAACAATTTAGTTATTAAATATGTCAATAAATAATTCAAATGCAAATGCATGTGCAGATGCAGATAATTAATTAAATATGTATTTATTTATTTCATGGTTCCTGTTCCTGCAGTGTCACCATATTAAACTCAGAGGGGCGGGGCTGTGGGCGGGGCTTACACTTATCTGTTAATTTCCACTACTTTAGCCTGAGTCTTTGAAAATCATGGCGGCCTTGCGATGGAGGGTTTTCAGGCATTTCCCATCAGCTCTTTAGACAGATTTCACAATTAGCAGACAATGTAGAAACAGATTGTCATACAGACCACATGGTGAATAAACTTGACTGCAAAACTAGTGGAGGTCACCAGATTAGTATTGATCTTAATAATTTATTGATGTATTTATTCTTTTAAAATAAATACAGAAATAATGGCTGTGTTGGCCCTCCATACAGTGTATCAAATTAATGTCTTAAAACCTTCCTTGTCACGGTCTCACGGTCCTTGAAATGAATTCATAAAATGTTCTGAATTAAGTACATTATAGCTACACACAGGAAGACAACACACAAAACAGCTACCTGTCGGAGACGGACATTACTGGTCACAATCTGGTTGACTTCATCCTGAGAAAAATAAAGGAACAACATCAGAGATAGAAATTAACTCGTTGACCTAGCACTCAAGATCTACTGTCCCGCAGTTTTTCGATGCATTCCTGCTTCAATGTGGCTGAATCAAATGACCGAACTGCCTCTTCAGCATACCATCAAGTTTGACAAATGCCTGGCTTCCTTTGTGAATCATTATTAGCAAACTGATCTTTACAAACCCTGACCTGCCATTTCCAATTTGGTCAATACCGATTTTTTTGTCTGAAAAATTTCTAAACACAGTAACAAAATCGTTAAGATGGCAACAGTGGGGGGACTATTGTTAACTAAGCACATGGACATTAGATAGGGTGGGTAGGTCTATCAGTCAGCTCTTTCCAAGGGCAGAGAAAAGTTGGCAATGGCTGATTTTCAGACTTGTGCGGAAATAGATAACATTGATTTCACATGTAAGTACGATCACGAATCACCCAAAATTTGGGAAATTGTGGCTGATTTATCAATGGGCTCCTATAAGTACATAATAGAATTGATCAAAGTAGCATCCAGTATTACGCAACGAAATTTTTCTACAAACATTAAGACATAGAATGTCACAATGACATGGTGTCTCAATGTCAGTAAAAAAATATTGTAAAGAAATTTTACATACACATAAACTGACATCACTGGGACTTTTAGAGACATTTTGTTAGCAACTAAAAATAAATCACAATCATATTGGTGTATTTAAAAAGCTATTGACTTGTAACTTGACTTTAGAATCAGTGATGAAAAGTAGAGTAACTGTTCATGATGTTTCACGTCTAAAAATGTATACAAATGATAGTGATATTATGCTTGTTTACTACAGTTTAAAACATGGTACAAGATTTTATTGATACTGTTGACCAACTACTCTTCATGAATTCAAAAATCCTGAATCCTAATAAGTTCCTCATCAGGACTTATTAAAATTATCACCTTAAAAGTCCCTTTAAATCCTTCTACAGAGCAGATCCTTTTTACTTCTTGACATGTAAAATGCTACAAATGATAGAGGGTGTACATTATTTTTGCCAGGACTACAAGTAGTGTGCATAGAGTTAAAATTACATGCCTTCAACTAATTAAATTATCAACTCTCCCCACCCCACACAGACACACACACACTTTTGTCTCTGTTTCGTCTGAAGTATTCAGTCTTTGTGTTTTTTTTTAAAGTATGGGATCCTCTGTCTGATGATCTGGTTATGTTTGTATGGATGCTGGGGTTGATGATGGGGATCACATTGTGTCAGTAATTGGGCCAACAAATCTCCACCCCTAAATGCTGGTTGTAAATTTCCAAAACTTTTCCAAACTGTTTCCACTCTTGGAAATACACAGGGGAACTGTTACTCTTACCACACTAATAAGTTGGATAAGCTGCAGGCCCACGGTGACTACTACAGCATCGCTGAAGTGGTTAACTGGACGAACCACTTTGTTATAACCCTTAAACAGGGTTTTCACCAGTTTCGTCTCATCTTCTGAGCAGGATCCCAACCCTGAAGAGAGATGGACACAATTTCAATTAGGGCTTGCCTAACTTAAGGTTCAAGTTTAGTGAAGTACATTCTGAGGTAATGCCACCCTCTCATGTCCTTCAGAAATATTTTCACAATGAGAGCTGAAGAAAGGAAATTGTGGTTCCTGCTCTGAACTTTTCCTCAATTTACAACCAGCGATCTGAAACCCTTAATTTCATAAACATGAGGACTGAAAACAGGTGCAGAGGAAAAGCAGGATGAGAGGACACTGTCTGATTCGAGACAGGCAAGGACAAACAGAGCAGAGAGCTTCACGGCAACACTGGACAAGTGACTGACATTCCATGTTGGTGAAAAGCTTCTCCACTGGCTGTCGCTCAGTCAAATCTGTCTCCAAAGGTTGTTTGTGGATCTAATCTCAGCACTCAGCAGGTGTTTGGAGCAGCCAGCTCTGGCCAGCAAATTGTCATGAAATGAGTTTCAGCTTGATATGAGTACACATAAAACATATTTAACACCTCTCCATACTCACAATGCTTTAAATAAACAGACTTAGATGTTTTCATCCCTACTAAATGTGCTGCCATAAACTATATGATGCCACTGGGTCAAATGTCAAAGACATAGGAAAACAGATTAAACATAATTGAGTAATACAGTATCATTTAAGTAGTCATACCCCTTAAGCTTCTTGACATTTCGTCATATTACAACCTCAGACAGACACCACTCACATTATTTGGAGGACAATGTACAGTGGACCTATTTGTGGACAATTCTGTGGACTTTAGCTTGAAATTATTTGTGGAAAATTTGACCATTCGCAGATTTCTTTGTATAGCATTTCTACAATGTTTGACAGAAAATGCAGGTCGGAAAACAATGCTGCTTGACATGCTACTATTGGCTGGATATGCAAAGCCGCCAATTCAGAACAACCAATTAACTTTTGCGGTAGTACCAAAGAGGTTTCCGTTGTGTGTTTTAATGCATATTAAGGTATTTTTTGATGTGTGAACTACTAAAATAGGAAGTTTTAAGAGGTTTTAGAGGGCTCTCAAATATTTGTAGATTTTAGCTATTTGAGGGTGGCTGTGGTACCTAATCCCTGCAATCCCTGGGTATCTACTGTGGTGCATAATTGTGAAATGTAAGGAAAAATACACCTTTATTTAAATTCTTTACACCAATCTGAAAAGAGTGGTGTAGAGTGGTGTACAGTATGACTGTCCACCTAAATTCATAGACCTGGCAAAAAGAAGCCTGTAGTCACTCCAATGTCTAACTGGGAATCTGAGGTGAGAATTGAATCTGACTAAGCTGTAACCATTTTGCAAAGACTGGGCAACCCTTTCAGTTTGTGGCGAATTTATATAGCATCTTTTGACTTGTATCTACCACTCAGAAGAGCTTTTAGATAATAAACCTCATTTCCCCAAATGCATTTCTCCTGCTTACAGAAATTTGAGTATCTAGATGTGCAATGCTGGCAGACGCATACCTCAAGAGCATTGCAGTATTGTTTAAAAACTTAAAGACTTGTAGCCCTTTCCTTCCACTTCACCATTGGACGCTACGTTGTGTTGGCATATCACATAAAATCCCAAAGAAATTCATTGAAATTTGTAGTTCTTTCATATTTACAGTAAGTGGGATGGCCACTGCCTTTGCTGTGATAGTAAACATGTCAGACAGATCAGTACAATTGACCCAACAGACAGCAGTGGAAGTCAAGTGGCATCCTTTGTGTGCTATCCCGGGAATGTACTGGTAAGTTTCCCCCAGCCTGAGCTGGACAAACTGGGATCAAGTTTCATTAAGCCAGCAACAGAGAGCATGCACATGAACCCTCATCACACATGAAGGTTCGGTTTTCTTCTATACGTTCTATTTCAAGTTTTCATCAAAGATCAGGAGGTCAGGGTTGGTGTAGTGTAGTGTACATTTCTTGTATTTGTCATTTGTCCCTGTTAATGTCTGCTTATATCCTGTTTGTTGTCAAGTCCGTGTTATTTCATCCAAGAACAGAAATAGAAGGGAAGAAGAAACACCTGGAGCTGTCAGTCACTGACCACTCTGAGTTGCTATTTGCTAGTGTTCTACTGCGCCAGCTATGGGGTGACAAAATGGTGGAGGGGGCTTTAGATGTCTCTCTGTTCCAACACAGCTGATTGATTACTTCCTCTGCATGTCAAAGTTCTGCAGATTCTGTTAATGAGCCGTCATTTTGTTCAGGTGTGCTAAACCAGAGAAAGATCTGAAACATCCGCAATGCTGGATGTTGAGAACTGACTTTGGACAGCACTACTCCAGACAGTCTGGTATTTGTTGCCTCTTGCCTCCACCATTTTAAAATTGTTTACATGCCAGTAATTTGGCTTGTCTTAGAAAGAAACTTATGCAAATCATTTGTAAGACTTTGAGAATACCACAAGTGCTGAACTGTAAAATGCAGATCTCTGCGTCTGATTCTTAGTCTTCTATCACCAAAATACCTAATGTCTCCTTCTGTGGTTAATATAAACTACATGTACTGATTAAATCTGAAACTCCGACATTATTAGTTAAAACACATAAGGGGCAATTTAGAGTGTTTTTTGTACGAATATTTTTGACAAACCTGAACTAAATTATTATACAATGGTTACAATATTTTTTTTATCCAATTACGATGGTTGGAGGAAGCAGAGTGTACCAATATGTGAGACTAAACGGTCACTGTGACAAATATGTGACCTTAGCTATCAGTCTTTAAGGGGACATCACTTACAGTAAATTTTACAAACAAATTAAGCAAACACTGTTAAAATCCTTAGATTTATATGACTTATATTTTCCCATACAAACATCTGCATACCATACATACATTGTTAGTCATAGTACTTGCTGAAAATTATGAAAAATTAATATATGTGTTTGGATTTTTATCATTTTCTGCCCACATTTTCATTGCAATGTTTTTCAATTTATATATATAAAAATATCTCATTTTAATTTTGTAAAAAGGTAGGTATCAGAAGCATCTTGGACTAAGCCTGTTTTTCATAAAGAGTCACATTCTACTTGCTAGCTACCATTTTGTACAGTTGCGTTATAGGGTAACTCTCCACTGTGTCTAACTTGCTATCACTGCATATCTACATATGTGACATGTATCTTTAACATATTAATTAGATTCTTAGGTCACACATACAATGCCAATTTTAAAAAATAATTCCTATAAAAACAGATCAGTAACCTCACATGGTTTCAAATTCTAGGATTAGAAGAGTTATGTCGTAAATGCAGTTATAAATAAGACCCTTCAGAATCTCTGTTTTCAGAACCAATTGCCAAATTCCTTAACACCAAATTACTCAGAAATATAAAAAATTCTTACCAGAATATGCACAAAGAATCCATGTGATAAAAATCAGGACCTTATGAAGGTGCATATCTGTGCCGTAAAAATCCTTAATCCCACAGGAAACCGTTGAAGTGTGTCCAGTTTGAAGATCTCAGTGTGACACATATACTAAGTATGCATTGAAATAGATACACTGAAGCTATAGCGTTCAACGAAGCGCTGCAGAGTATATGTGGTAAGGTGGATCAGTCAAGGTTGTGAACTCTGAGCTCTTGCTTTTAATAGAAAACACTATGCTGCTTCCCCAACCCACCAACTTCTCAACCACTCACCAAATGTCCAGGGAGGAAGACAGCTGGGACGGCTTGTCTTTGATGTTTGTTGTCGTGACTTCAGTTTGGTTCCTTCAGTTAGTGACAGCTTTTGTTCATGGTGTTCATGTTGGCTTTCTGTTAAGCAAAAGAAAGAAATATTTCTTTGTGTATTTGTTTAAGAAATACTGTTAAGGTAAAAATAAGTAACAGTTCTTTGGTTTTCTGTCTGAGCACTTTTCAAGAAAACCCCCTTTATCAGGGTATAGATATCTCAGTGTTTTGGAAATGCCCGCTTAACCTCTACCAGATTGATGGAAAGCATTTATTTCTTCTCTTTATTATTGATGTCTTTCTTTATTGGCATTATGGTAACACATATATATGCTGTAGGATAGCAAAGTTATGAAACCTTTGCTTCTACAGAGGAGATATAGGCGAGATCAATAAATGGTTGCTTTAGGACCCTTTTAAGCCAGGACACTCACACAGAGAGGCAGACAGACAGCTGAGCCCTGCCACTGATGAAATGAGAAGCATGTCAGGGCACATGCTGCTATTTGAGTGACATGGACACCTACTTATCAGCTCCCATGGCATGAAAAAATTCATTGGGTTACAGTCAGACTGAACATCTAAACAACTGAAATGAAACATGGACAAAAATTAGCATGTCTTTTACTGTATACTCAGCTTTCAGTATTCAGTATATAATAAAGGCAAGCTCTATAGTCTGTGAAATACTGAATCAAGTGCTGAAAAAAATGAGGAAATGTATGCTGACCAATATGTGATGCATTCACTGACCAAATTAGTATGGGAATAAATGTGTAGTTCTTTATCATTTCAAGTGCAGCTATTGAACACTTCTAAATTCACGTCCTTGTATGTAAAACATATGGCACAGAATTCCTCACAATATTTTGCTGACCTTTTGTTAGTAAATTACCTTAATGTTACTTTAAATTACTCATACCCTAGGCAATAAGTGATGAGAAACCCCTGTTCCTTTTTAAGTTGCCTATTTGCAGACAGCAAAGACTCAGACTCTGAGTAGTGGATGGATGCTGAAGACTGTAAGGCGTGGCAGTGGCAGTTTCCAAATTCCTTGGGTGCCCTATATGAGAAACACATCCATATTTAAGCAGTCACACCATGGAAACACTGTCTGAAGTTATAAAGACACATTTTCTGATGACTGTTGATGCCAATTACAGGTTTGATGACAAAATGAAAATACTCACTCAATAGTCAAAATAAGACTCAGACTGTGGAATCGCAGGAAGACATGAAAAGAGTGCTCTATTGTGTCCTTTCTACTGACCCTTACATGTGTGCTGAATTCCTTTGTCCCTTTCAGTGTAGGTTCCTGTATTGGCACTCAGTGGTGAGCTGCAAATGGGGGTATCTTGTACATTTTGATTTTTACAGAATCATTCTGATTTTGGCAAAATTCATTGCCAAAATCTGTTGTGGCATCTGTCATGTTTGTGGGAGATGACACCTTTCCACTCACAGACAGCTGGACAAGCAGCAAAGAGTCTTCTATTACCAACTGTCAAGAACATGCAGGCTTCTGTAGAATGCCTTTGACATCCTACCCAACAGATGGTAGGTCTTTTGCACAACCATCATCCTTGACTGAGATAAGATCACCAAAATGACTATGGCTGCTGTCTGTCTCCATGATTCCCTGAGAGACTGCAAGTCAGAGGCGTACACACCACAAGACTGACAGACAGGGAAGAAGCCAGTCACAGGTTTGTAAAGGGAGATTAGAGGGGAAAAGGACTGGGACTATTACAGTTTTTGCACTGACTATGAGGCAACTGCAATTCCCCACTGCGGGATTAATAAAGGAATATCTTATCTTATCTTATCTTAACTACAACAATCAAGCCAAATTGCAATGTGACAACCTTAAATATGTTTTGTTTTGTTTCCCCTGACGACCTTGGCAGTATAAAGACAATCAGGACTTCACAGACCAGGATTTCATCAAAGTCTTGTTTTTGAGGAAGTAAAGAGGGGCCCATGATTTGATTGGATTAAATATACTGTTGGGACTAACACCTGCAGTATTTGGGCAAGAAGAAGCTGAGTACACCCTGGACAGGTGGAAATACTGCTCAGGCAAAGAAAACACTGATGCTGACAGCTTGCCTCACCATTGGATGTGGAGAACTAGATTGTTTAGGTGCACAAAGAAGATATCCCATAGGACTAAATGTTTTGACAGTAGAGATACAACATGGTATCTCCTGGTCAATGGTAATCTCTGTTAACAGTCTGATTGTTTCTCAGGAAAGCCATAAATATGTGTAGTGGGCCATGGGTAGCCGAGGAGAGATTCTACAATTCTTGGACTGAATCATTTGCATTCATTGCCAATGCCTTTAGGAATACCTGAATGTTTGCTCTGTAGTGAGAAATTGTCAAATAACAAACCGTACTTTCCGGACTGTAGAGCGCACCTTACTGTAAGCCCCACCTACAAATTTTTTGGA